AAAAATTACTTTGTCTTCACTGCAATTTGAAAGTTCATGTGTGAAGATGTGGTACATCTTCACATATGAACTCATCCTCTTCAGTTGCTGCCTGTTCTGCGGCAGTTGCCACATGTCCCTTTGTTGTCTCATACAATCATGGAGATATTTGCACATTGTTTGGTAACAACCCCTACCTTTGTAATTTGTCCTTACCAATATGCTTCAATTTGAAATTGTTTCCACAATTATTTGTAAAGCACATGTTCCATCACACACTGATAGCTTACGAAGACCTTGTTCAGCGTACTTGGTATCATGTCATGAAATGATTTGGTCACTACGTGTATTAATTCAATGGCATTTCTAATCTTTAATGGCATATTGAGTGGCATACCTGACAAAATCGGGATGATTAACATCTATGTAAGGCCTTACATTATCCTATTGAATGATAATGCTCCTTTTTCTCCATCTCACTATTTCTGTTTAATTGTTGACAATAGTTCATTGAGTATCATGTCTTTGATTACTACACATGTAATACTGAGTGTTGCCTTTGTCTTTAATGTTCCCGATGGTCTGATCTTACTTCTTCTTTTGGATGTGTCTTCATAAGTGAAAGAAAGATCCTCACTTTCCCATCCCATATGGCATCCCCATTGCCCCCCAAGTCTTGGTCTACCCATAGCCGCTAAGAACATGATCTTCGGTATGAACTTTTTTGACTAGGCAGTTATGTAGGGGCCCTCTTCAGTGTGAAGGGTGTAGAAAGTGGTGGTTCCTTTTGACAAATAAAATCACCTCTCATTTATGTGTATAGAACCATAAAAGTCATGAAATGTTTGGGTGAAGGTTAGTGAGGCAGGATTAATGTATTTTGAGCAAAAGTCTATCCTATTTAGCTTTGCCACATTAGTTAAAAGGGGCATAGTTTTTTAATACTCTAGGGGGGTCTGGGGGAAGGGGGTCTGGGGGGGGGGGGGTCTGGAGTAATCAGGGCTGAGACTCACTCCATTGAGTTTCAAACCCTCATGTGTCTAGCGGGTTTCAAACTCGAGACCTCCCACTAGGCACGGTAACCTCACAACCAGCTGGAGTGGAATGCTTGGTTAGGAGGCCTAGTTTCATTGGAGTGCCTTTTAATATACTTACTTTTAAACCACATTGAACTGTGGACTTTGACACATCCATGGTATAGCCCAAAACCCTCATATTTTTTCTTTGATGATAGGGAATTTCTGATTTTTTTGCAAGTGAAATGATTTTAGTTTTCTCCCCACATGCCTGCAAACCACCCAAATCAGTGAGGCAAATGCCGGGGAACATTTACCGAGTTTTATTAATATAAAAAATCAGGTACAAGAAGAGAGGGGAGCCAGACAAAAACCTCTCCAGAAGAGACATTCCTCTTCAAAAACAGACAACATCCAGAAAAAAATTACACAACAATGAAAATAAATAGATCCATTGAGGGGGCTATACCTGACCCAATGGATTACATCAATAAGTATATCTAAAAGAAAGAAAACCAAATAAATCAGCATAATAAGCCTGTTGGGCTAATCTTGGCAGATCAGAGATATGGTTAAAAGAATGATGTTGGGCCGAAGCTTGGTTAGAAAGATAATGGGCTACCCAATTGCACTCCCTGATAACATGGGAAAATCGGATCCCCTTCCTGCGAGCATCCGGTACACTTTCCTGAAAATCAGCCTTCCATCTACCCGCTCCTCCATCTTCAATGTATTGCACCGCCATCGCAACATCCATTTCCACCATGAAACTAGAGAAGCCTTTTGAGATGGCTCATTTCGTAGCATATAACGCATAAGCAATTTTAGCTTCCAATGGAGAAGATGCATCAATCGGGAAAGCCAGTGCAAACACCAAAATCCCATTTTCATCCCTCATGATTGCCCCTCCAGATACATCTCCATGTAAGAATTTAGCATCGCTGTTAAGCTTTAAAGCTCCGGTGGGCCGCTTCCATTTCACTGCTTTGTAATGACCACCTTTTGTTTTGAAATTAGCCGGAATCAAGTTTTCTTCATAAAGAATATCACCAATAGAATGTACCTTCAAGGTAGGAAAACTAGTGACCCAAGCCTGAGTGTAGATTTTAATTTGTAAAATTATCTGTTCAAAAGAAATCTTACTGCAATTTGAGCCCCAGACGATAGCTGTATAAATTTTCCACAAGTGCCAACATATAATACCAGGTAAGTTGTGCTTGAAGATATCTGTTAACTTAATACTGCCCGCCCTAATCCACCATGACATGAAAACCTCCCTGATAGAGCTGGTAGGTCTAGGAAGAGGAATACCCAGGATGTTCATGAAATAGTACCAAATTGGTTGAGCAATTTTACATTGGAAGAATAAGTGATCAAGATAATCTTCGCTATTTTTACAAAGGGGACAAATTGAGGGATTTAGCACCATTTGGAATCTTTTCAGGTTATCAGTAATAGGAAGAATACCTCTCAGAATCCTCCACTGAAATATTTTAATTGCCAGAGACTGTCTAGGATGCCATGAATGCTTAAAAGAGAAAATGGAGGCCATTTCATTTCTTACCAAGTCATAAGCAGACTTGAAGGTCAAGCATCCATCAGCCTAAGGTAACCATTTCAGACTATTATCAGAATTGATTTGACATTGACTGCTAGCACAATCACTAATAGCACAAATCCTCCTCCATATAGGTGAATCACTGACCTTAGGGTTCATGCAAAGCCCTCTAAGATACCTAGCTTTCAAAAAATCAACCCAAAAAGTATTACGAGACCTCCACTTCCACCATAGTTTGATAGAGAAAGCCCTTTCAAGATCATATTAAGATATGAGACCCAAACCTCCTTCTTTAGTGGAAAAACATAGATCAGACCACTTAAGCCAGTGATATTTAAGTTTACCATTAGAAGATCCCCAAAAAAAGCTGACATCTTTTTCTCTAAAGTGTTAATGACTTTTCTGGGCAGGTTATCTGTTGCAAGAATATGGACAGAAATGGAACTCAAAACATGCTTAATCAAGATGAATCTCCCTCCTTGAGTGAAATTCCTCTCCTTCCATGGAGATAACTTCTTTTCAAACTGATTAATAAGATTGGTACAGTAGGATAACCTGTTAATACCTTTGTGCAAATTAACTCCAAGGTATTTAATAGGAAGATTAACTTTCTGCATGCCAAGAGTGTCCTGTATGGTTTTAAGTCTGGCTCTTGCAAATTTGCCACAAATAAAAGAACTTTTACCCAGGTTGACTGACTGTCCTGAAGCACATTGATAGGAATTGAGAAATTTTTTAAAATTCTGTAAAGATCTAGTTTCCCCATTTAGAAAAATCAGGAGGTCATCAGCAAACCCTAGGTGAGTTACAGGATACCCCACCTGACCAAGCCAGTAAGGCTTAATATTACCTTGATCAACATTCCATTTAATTCCTTTTAACTTGGTACATATAAAAGTAATAAAGGAGTTTCTTGATTGGAGGTGGCAGATTTAGATCAAAACTCCAACTTTGTTGTGCATCAAATTGATCATGTGAGTTGCCCATTTCTGGCAGGGGTAGATGGAAGAAGTCTATGTTTGACGAGCATAAGTTCCTGCCTTCTAGCTTTCTTTAACCAAGCTTCTCGGCTGGTTGTGAAGTTACCGTGCCTAGTGAGAGGTCTCGAGTTCGAAACCCGCTAGGCACATAAGGGTTTGAAACTCAATGGAGTGAGTTTCAGCCCTGATTACTGCAGCCCCCCCAGGCCCCTCCCCAGATGCCCCCTGGAGTAAAAAAAATAAAAAGTCTTTAAAAGCTTCTAAGTGTATGTTTGGCACGCCAATGTTTAAGAGCTTTTATAAAAATAAAAGGTTTTCTTGTAGATCTACGGTGAGTATCATCTCAGATAAGTCCGTAGCTTTTAGCATTAATTAATCCTAACAGCTTGTATACCAAACAGAGCTAAATCAAACAGTCAGCTTTTTACCAAACAGCAACTGCCTTTTCTTTTTAAGGTCTTTTCAGTCACTAAAAGCTAACAGTTACTAAAAAGCTCATAAAGTATCTTTTTCAGCTAGTTGTGCCAAACATACCCGAAATAAAGATTGAAAAGAAGCTTTAATTATGTGTATTTATAGAAAGTTGGATGTGCTATATGTAATTGGGGGATCTGAAAAATTGGGAGATAAATTTCCCGTATAAGGCTCATTTAGGCAGGGTAAATTGTGTGGTGCCATCGTGCGAGTGAAATTGTGATACTCCTTCTGTCCCTTATAACTTTGCCAACTTTCCTTTTTTGGATGTCCCACTAATTTTGTCACTTTCCATTTTAAGTAGAGAATTTGTGATTCTAGTTCATTCTCTCTCCTCTGCACAAACCTCAACCACGTAATTTTTACTTTATTATTTTCCGTGTCGGTCAAACTTGACAAAGTTATTAGGGACGAAGGGAGTATGATTTGTTTTTAAAATAAATGTGTCTTACCCCCCCCCCCCCCCCCCCTTTACCAATCATCCTCTTCCTTCTATCCACGACGACAACAAATATTAAAACAAAAGTAAAAGTGGAAAGTCAAATTTTAATTTCTAGGGAGAACTATCAAATAAGTTTTCGAACTTTCATAAAAAGTGTAAATAAGCCATTTTATAGGAGGCTCTGCCCGACTGTCGCCATTTGGGGCGGTTTTCTGTGGAATGTTTGATGAATTTTTTTGAACATCTTCCTCATTAAGTCTAGTTTGTCCATATCAAATTTCAGTTAAAAATACAATCAAAAAGGCAGTGAAATGAATTTTTGAAATATACTGCGATGTCTAACTGCGCAGTCATCTTCAAAATTTCATTGGACTATCTTCCCGATTGAATGTTTAGCTGAAATTTGGTATGAGTACTAGAGTTAATGAGGAAGATGCACAAAAACTTTCACCGGAAACCGCCCCAAATGACGACGATCGAACAAAGTCTCCTATAGTTTATTTGCACTTTAAAGTTCGAGGGCTTATCTTACGATTCTAACTAAATTTGAAGTCAAATCAAGAATTTGTTTTCATTAGAGAGGAAGTATATGTCATTTTCTTCATTACTCCATAATTGAGCAATTCTCAATGTTCTCAATTTCTCATATACAAGAACTCTTTACTGATCATATACAAATTGTCCGCACTCCTTATAGTCGTATACAAGTTCAAATGTACTGAACACTTTCTAGTTACTTGTTATTACGGAGTATATATTGCTTCCATTGATCTAGGAGTCATAGTCTCGGTCTCTCGGATATAGATGGGTTTCTGAGTTTTTTGGATTGCTTTCGGCCGTGGCAGCTGCTCCGTGCCGTGCTAAATCCTATTCTTAGCTCAATGATTTGATCCTTGTTGTGAGTTTTAGGTTTTTATTCACTCCAGTTTTTACCATTATAAATTTGGTTTTTATTCACTCGAATATTCTTCACTTCTTCTTGATGTTGTTCATATATTAAGCTTCTTCACTTTCCCTTGATGTTCCACGGTGTAAAATGTAAAGAGAGCAATAAAAGTGGTTCCAGATAATGAGGTGACACGACGCAAATTTTGACTGAAATACATCACCGTTTCTTTCTCAAAGTTTCCGCTTAGTTCTTACTTTTTTGCGTTTTGGTTGTTGAATTCGTTTTCAAATTTTTATATTTTATATTTTATTTGCGTGGAATTGATATTAGATGAATTGTTTGATGCATTTGTCTGCTAAATTGCTAATTGAACGATTCCTAAATTTGTCAGGTACGGATATATGGTTAGTTTCTATTTGGGCATTTGGGAGTTTTAAAATACCCCATTAATGGAGGATGGGAGTGCACTAAGACTATCCAACTTGAGGACAGGTAACTGTATTCTAAAATCCACATTGTCTGGCAGATCAACGCCCAGGGGTTCCCCTTCCTTTAAGAGGTTGAGCTCTGGGCGTACCCCACACAAAGAAGGTGGTAGGTTTAGTGGACTTATTAATTCCCAGTGTTTCAAAAGCAACAGAGTTGTTCTTTGGTTGCTCTTAATTACCCTCTGGACATATGGTGGATTTTATATCCAGTCAAGGTGGGCTCACGGGGATAACAAGGATGGTATATTTGGCGGTTACGATGGTAACTCATCCTCTATAGATTCTTCACTGATTGCAAATGGAGATTCCTCTTTAGTAGAGGATAGGGTTGAGATTGAGAGTAACCAGTCCAATTCGAAGGATTTGGGGGTGACTTTATCAACCAAAGGCAATATTAGTAATTCTTCACCATCTGATAGAAATGCAATTCCAAAGAAGGGTAAGAAATCAAAGCAGGCTTCACATAAGAAGAATCACAGAAAACAGGTGGATAATAAAATTGATGTGCACGAAGAGGAAATGCCAAGAGAAAATACAACCTATGGATTGCTTGTGGGCCCTTTTAGATCAATAGAGGATGTCATACTTGAGTGGAGCCCGGAAAAGAGGTCAGGCACCTGTGACAGGAAGGGTCAGTTTGCACGCCTCGTTTGGTCTAGAAAGTTTGTGTTGATATTACATGAGCTTTCTATGACTGGAGCTCCCCTTGCCATGTTGGAATTGGCAACAGAACTCTTAAGCTGTGGGGCCACAGTTTATGTTGTGCCTCTTAGCAAAAGCGGGGGTTTGATGCCTTCGTTAGCTAGAAAAAGGATCAAAGTTCTTGATGATAAGAGTGACATAGGCTTCAAGATAGCAATGAAGGCAGATCTTATAATCGCAGGTTCTGCTGTCTGTGCATCATGGATTGGTAAGTGACTTCTAAATATATTGTTTGTTCACGAAATGCTCTAAATATAGCTACTCCAATTAATAAAATCAAATAAACTGCAATACGTAGCAATTTTGCATTTATCTCCACATGTTGAAGTATTACGCCATAATAATCTGGAATCAATTTTTTTTGTCGAGAACGTAATTTAATTACTCTCTAGTAGTCTAGCTATTAGTGAAATAGTGCTTCCATTTTAGCATCCAGGGTGTCCTTTTTTCATTTGTTCTTTCTATCCAAATACTTGTAGTTTTAGTTATTTGTGATTTCTTTTTGCATCTTTCTTCATATGTTTCATTATTACCCCTTCTATTTTCGGGGGATTTCTGAGCAAAGGGAAGGGGTGGGGTGATGTATATGATGAATCTACTCATACATTAGTTGGTTGGAAGGGAAGTGAAATTGTAAAAGTGATAAATTGTAAAGAAATACTTGAATTTCATTGAACTAATGAAATACTGTGTTTTATGATATATCACTAATTAATATCAATAAATTAGTAAATCAATTTCACCTATCACCTGATGTACTTGAAAATACCCAAACCAAACAAGTCCTTGGTGTATGGAGGTATAGAAGTAGCAGAAGAGAGGGTTTCTCTCACTGAACCTTTTTTAAGTGACTTAAAACTGAGATGTTTTGAGGGGCATTTTCACTACCAATAATGACTACTCTATAACTTATAGAAAAGGGTTGCATCTAGGTGAACTCCTAACTATGCTGAAGGTACTTGTATGCTTCAATCCTGTGATATGGAGATATGGCTTTCGGACCAAGATGAACTTTGATTATCTTATATCTGCTACTGTGTGTTTGGATTCTGGTAAGTGCTAGGGAAAGGGGGGAAATGCTAAGAAACATTATTCTCTTATGTTTGCATTTACTTTGGAAAATGTAAAGGAAAAAGAAATGATTAGTTTTTGTGTTCAACTCTGCATATATTTAGAATTCATAATCTTTATATAATACACATAAATAATAAAATGAGTATCAGAAAATATGTAAAATATATTTATTGAGTTTAAGCCTATCTTTTAGGGAAAAGTACGGAAAAGGTACTTGTAGTTGGACCCGTTTTGAGATAGGGTCATGTGTTTCATTCTTTATCAAAGTGGTTCATGTGTTTGAATTCCGTTATCTCAAGAGGGTCACGCCGTTAAAAACGTCTGAAAAAGACCGATTAAAGTAACTCTGATTTTCAAAAGAGCCCGAAAAATCAAAAGAAAAATACCGAAAGGTGCGCCTCGTCAAGATGACCTTCAAACCATCTTCGCCTTTAGATTTTCCGGATCCGTTTGAATTATTTTTTAAAAATGATTTCGCTAATATCACTTTTCTGATGGACTTTCCGGTGACAAGGGTGGCTGAAAACAAAAAAGAAAGATGACCTAGCGGTCGTCTTATTGAGGCGCACCTTTCGGTATTTTTCTTTTAATTTTTCGGGCACTTTTGAAAATCGGAGTTACTTTTAACGGTCTTTTTCAGACGTTTTTAACGGCGTGACCCTCCTGTGATAACGGAATTCAAACACATGAACCAATTTGATAAAGAATGAAACACATGACCCTATCTGAAAACGGGTTAAACCACAAGTACCTTTTCCGTACTTTTCCTTATCTTTTATTTTCCCTTCAGTGTACTTGGTCTACTGAAAGTGAAACCCGCCTTTTAGCCATATTTATCAAAACTTAGTTTCTGTGTGATTTTCTATTTTGGTTTACATGTTATTCTATATGGAAAATTTCTGATGATATTACGCTTTTCAGAACGCTATGCATCACGAACTGTTCTTGGAGAAAATCAAATTGCTTGGTGGATCATGGAGAACAGAAGGGAATACTTTGACCGGTCAAAACTAGTGCTCAACCGTGTGAAGAAACTTATCTTTCTGTCTGATTTACAGTCAACACAATGGCTAGCCTGGTGTGAGGAAGAACACATAAAATTAAAATCCCAGCCATCACTTGTCCCACTATCGGTCAGCGATGAACTTGCTTTCCCAGCAGGCATTCCTTGTTCCCTGAATAGTCCCCTCTTCACTGCCAAGAAGATGCTAGAAAAGCGAAAGCTATTGAGAAATTCTATCCGAAATGAAATGGGATTATCAGAAAATGATATGCTTGTTATGTCCTTGAGTAGTGTAAATCCCGGAAAAGGTCAATTGCTACTTCTTGAATCAGCACAGTTGATAATTGAACAAGGACTTCTTCATCGCAATAATCTTGAAATGAACAATCAAAAACATTTTAAAAGAACACTTCTTGATTATAAGCAACAGAAGCTTAAGATACTTATAGGTTCTGTGGGCTCCAAGAGCAATAAGGTACCCTATGTTAGAGCACTTCTCAGCTTTCTTTCTCAGCACAGGAACCTTTCAAGCTCTGTTCTGTGGACTCCAGCAACTACTCGGGTTGCCTCTCTTTATGCTGCAGCAGATGTATATGTTATGAATTCTCAGGTAAGGATCCTAAGGGCTTGTTTGGTCAGGGCAATTTTGCAGGGGAGAGGAGGGTTCATGTCAGTTTTGCCAATTTATTTCTATTTTAACTCCGAAAGTCTTAGACAAGATAAAATTACTCCCTCCCTCCATACAAAGTCATGTTCCATCAAGACATAACTTCTTATTCTTGATAAGGTAGAGTTGTTGTAAGTTATTAATCCAAATGTATTTTGTAATTACTCCCTCCGCCCTGCTCAGATTGTCTCATTTTTCTTTTTCGGGAAGTCCCACTAAGATTGTCTCATACCAAATTTGGTAAAGTCTGTGTGGCTCTAAATTAGTGGGACGGAGGTAGTATTTGTTTTGAAATTAAATCTAACACACTTGTTCAGAATAAATTCTTAGGGAAAAGTTGTTAGGTCAGTGTAGATTTTTTGTAGGATATGTCAGGGTTTAAATGGTTATCGAACAAAACATCACTTCTAGTAATGTCAAAATTACGCTCTCTTAAAAGTTCACTATCTGCTCTTATCACACTTACTGACTTGCAAGATCAAACTTTTGGGATAGAAAACGGTGTGCATTCTAGTTTTGATACTAAAAGAATAACACTAACAAGTGGTTCATATACAGAGTAGTCTGAAAATATTTATAAAAAATGGTGCATATAATACCGATAATAGAAATGGAGAGTGTCTTGTCATAACCATCCGACACAAAAGGTTGCCAACTCTTCATTTAGTCATGATGCCGCTACAATGGTGAAATTGCGATTTTTTTAGATGCAATGTTTATGTATCCATTGAGATATTTTTATTGTGTATGACAGGGACTTGGCGAAACTTTTGGGAGAGTAACCATTGAAGCTATGGCATTTGGTCTTCCAGTAAGTTCACATGATCCTTCTGTATTTTCTCTTCTATCTTACACTGTTTATGTTAAACAGAAATATGATTTTTTTCCCTATCAATGAGCATAAGCTAAATTTCTACATCCAAGCATATGAAAAAATTCCACTAAGATTACTCTTTCAGTTTAGTCGGCATGCCACAATCATATAGAAATCTTGATGTATTCTTCCGTTTCATCGACCCCATTGGCCCATTTTGATTCTATGGGATACATTACGAATTATGCTATGAATGAAACTTTTTGTAATGATATCTAAAATTTAATGCAAAATGATACTCTAATTAATTCATGAATTAACCATACGTATTATGCTGTGAATGATTTTTTTTTTAATGATATCTAAAATGTAATGTAAAATGGTATTCTAATTAATTCATGAATTAACCAAGTGGTACAAAAATATTTTTGAATGAAGTACACTAAAGTTTACTATTTAGTAAACTAGTTTATTACAAACAAGCTTTGTACTCATTTGCTATGATTTTGTGACATTTTTATCTTCTAGTTGTATTTCAGATGCTTTATAAACAATTTGATTAATTTTAAGTGATAGTAGTTCCACCACACTTTACTAATTAATTTACTGAAAGTAGAAGATGAAGTTTGATCTTTTTATAGAATACGTAGTATTAGAGAATATGATATATTCCCTTCGTCCCACAAAATTTTGTCAACATTCCTTATTTGTTGTCCCAAAAAACATGACATTTCTGTTTACGAGGGAGTATTTGTTAATTTATTGATAGTTTGGGATCATGCTAATAGTTCAAAAGAAAACTGCAAGAGTATATATACGATAGTATATCAATTGAAAAACTATAAATTATATTTAAGTTTGTATAAAGAAATCAGATTATCTTTTCTTATTATACACTTGTGATGTTTCTTTGTGTGTGGGGGTGTAGGTCCTAGGAACAGATGCAGGAGGGACAAAGGAGATCGTTGAACACAGAAAAACCGGTCTTCTCCATCCACTGGGTCGACTGGGAGCTGCCGTTCTTGCTTTAAATCTTCAGTATTTGCTGGAGAAGCCATGGGCTAGAGAGCAGTTAGGGAGGAGAGGGAGAGAGAAGGTCGAGAGTATGTACTTAAAGAAGCATATGTACCAAAAATTTGGAGAGGTTTTGTATGATTGTATGAGAGAATAACATAGCGCTTCTTGGCGGGGGCTACGTAGAGTGATATTCTCGAAATCTGTTAGTTGTTGGTACCGCTGGATGTGCAGATCCTTCTTTCAGATCCTTAATTTCATCGAGTCTGTGAGCCTTTGTGAATTGATTTTCCTACATTCCATCTTAAAATCCAAAGTAGGGAGTCTACATAGAATTTGCATGTTATGTTAACAGCTACATTGATTTTGTATACTTTTTTACCAAGAGGGCCCATAAAGCCACAAGTTCCTGGCCATAGCAGAGACAAGTAGAGAACGAGCAGTTTTTAATTTATATTTTTGTGATGTCCCACCCCAAAGATTTCTAACTTTACAGGATAATATAGCCAAGGATGGACTGGCCCCGGCCCTGCTGGTACCAATTTTTTGGGACTAAGGCCTGGTATCGGCCCAGGATTCCACCGGGACCGGTCTGGTCCGGTCTACCTGCTTGGATCTCGGGTTGGGTTGGGACGGTTTTGTTTTTTAAATGTTGTTTAAAAATTAATTGAAGAAGTGCTAGATATAAAAAAGTGAAAGTATATTTATTTGAAATATGAACTACAAGAATTGAGAAAAATTTTAAACATTAAATACATTTCTTAATAAATTCCATCATTTGCAAATTGCAATGGAGTCAAGTATTCATTATTTTTTGGCTAGAGATTATCATGGAATAAAGCAAAATGGCTCACTAAATTGTCTGCACTTCTTTGTTATGGAGCAGCAGTCAGTCCATGCAATTTTAGACGCGGTTTTCACTATGGGTCATCCGGAAACAGTCTCTCTGTGCTTTGTACAGAGGTAAGACTGCGTATATCCGACCCCCCTTACCTCATCGTAGGTTGGAGTCTTTGCGGCACTGAGGTAAATGAAAATGAAATGAAATACATTTTCTAATAATCAGTCGAAATCTCCGGCTAGGGATGGACCCGTTCCGATCTGCCCTGCTCGAGAACCGAATCGGCACGCCACTGTGCGGGACCGGCCCGACCTGCCATTGTGTAGGACCGGCTCGACCTGCCACTATGCAAGACCAGCCGGACCTGGTTGCTCGGGCTCGGGCCTGGGCTTAGGACCCGACATGGTTGCCCGGGATCGGGCCTGGACCAAGGACCCGACCCGACGGTGTTTTGGGGGCGGGCTCGGCTGTAGCTTTATTTGGAACTGGCCTGACTAGTCCGGCACCGGCCCGGGCCAATTTTATTTTTTTCGAAGTCTTTGGGGGGTAGGCGGGTTGACCTGTATGTTTTGGAAGGGTTTGGGGTGGGGGTGGGGGATAGGAATTAATTAGAAAAGCAAAAAAAAACCGCTACCCGACCCGGTCCCGGTAGAATCTTGAGCCGGTTCCGAGCCTTAATCCCCAATACAAAATCCGGGTTTTGACCGGCCCGGAACTGGTCCATGCCTATCTCCGGCACCGTCGGTTGTTGTTTCCTCCATGAAGTGGCGGGTGGGGGCTATGCTAAGTTCTTGAGTTCTACGTTCGACCTTCAACCAATCGTGGAAGCAAATAAGCGTCTCAAGAGATTTTGCGCTCAATCTCGTTCTATAATCCGTTAGAACGTTGTCGACCACACTAAATTCTTGTTCCACGACAACTCTTGATATCGATATTGCTAGGACTTGCTTATCCATTTTTTATAAAATCGGGAACATTCTTTCTTTTTCCTTCCACCACTTCAGAACGTCAAAGTCATCACCGTCTTCATAGTCAACAAGAAACGTTAGATACAAAGAAAGCTCGTTAACTGAGCTTTGTGCAACAGCAAGATTTATTTTACCTTTTTTCATAAGTTTGCCAAATGTAGATTTCAAAAATGATTTTCCTTTAGATGAAGAAAATGTTCGTGTCGGGGGAGGGGGTGCCTTACCATATTGTGCATTAAACTCATTATATAATTGATTAAATAAATTACTAATCTCGTTGTATTCCTCTTTAGGATCTATGGGTTGATCTTCATACATAGGAAATGGACCAAAAAAGGAAGCATAATAGATCTAACTCTACTCGAACTGAAATTCCCTTTGATTATGCCGCTTTAAACAAAATTATGAAACAAAAGAACCCGAGTTTTCAATTGATGAGAGTGTGAGCATTTATCCTTCTGAAACGGAAGTTGTGTCGGACCTAGACTCCCTTCAACCTCACAGTCTAGTGAAGAAGAACCCTACATCCCTCCATTGATCAAAAAGTTTGAAAACTTGCACATTTCTATGGAAAATCAAAGAAAACGTTTTGAAGAGGAAAGAAAAAGTTTTGAAAGTGAGACGTCGAGTCTGTTGAGAGAACTTACACTTTTAAGAGAATGTTCCCAGTCTAACACAACTTCCCAATCAACAAGTGATTCTGATACAAACAATGCTCACATTAACAAAAACAAAACTCAATTTTCTGAAGAGGCACCCACTCACTCCAAGTCTCCTTTGAAAACAGGAAAAGAATTGAGTAGGAGACTAGAGAAGAGGGAAGAGTGGAGGCTGAAGAGAAAAGAATGAGCCGAAGGGAAGAAGAAGATGCTTTTGAATAATAAGAAGTCTAGTTCTAGCTCTTTGTTTTATTCCAAAAATAAATGTAGCTCTGGCTCATCTTTGCAATCTAGTAGTAATTCAGTCTTGTGTCCCAAGCTGAATGTTTCTAAGACAACTCCTGAACTTTTTTATTCTGATAATGAAAATTATGCTTTTGATCTTGGTTATTATGGTTCTGATTCTTCTGATTATGAATGTGTTGTGAATGGTGAGCGAGTGAGAAGAGTAAATGAACGTAATCTAAGAAAACAAACCAAGAATAGAGCTGTTGAGGGTGTTTATTATTTACCAAATTTGAAATATCTCCTCAAAGTTCATTCAAGGAAACATTTAGAAAGACTTTCTAAGGAAGAAATTTTTAAGCCCCATCTCACAAAGCAACCATTCACCCACAAAGATCATGTCTTCTCCACTCCCTCATGCAAACAAAAGTAGATTCCAAAAGCTGAACATGAAAAAGCACAATCTTTAACTGAAAAAGTCGTTGACCTCGGATCACAGCTTAAAGAAAAATTTAAAAAGATGTTCTCAATTGATAAGGAAGGATCCATCCTTTGGTGGGTACCTAAGAAATCTTAATTGTTTTTGCAGAACGGTCATGTGTGGCACTTAGATTCATGATGCTCAACCCATATAACCGGAATAAAACATCTGCTGAGCAACTACACACAATGCTACGGAGGAAATGTTAGATTTGTAAACGACGTCTCATCTCTGATCCTTGGATATGGAGATGTCATTTGCGCAAATGTCACAATAAAGAATGTATCATTCGTGAAAGGACTCAAACACAATCTTCTGAGCATTGAACTGTTTTGTGATAGCGGGATGAAAGTGAAGTTCAAATCCAGACAATGTTGTGTGATGGACAGCTATGAGAAAACATTATTAACGTGTACCAGGACATCAAATCTGTACACCATTGATCTAAAGAGTGTAAAATCAACTTCTTCCATCTGTCTACTATCCAGAGCTTCCTCTGAACAAAAAAGTATGTGGCATAGGCGTCTGTCTCACCTGAACTTCAAGAATTTGTCCATTCTATCATCAAATAAACTTGTGAAAGCGCTTCCCCTGTTAAAGTCTTCCGCTGACAATCATTGTAGTGCCTGCAAAATGGGCAAGATGACCAGAAGCTCTCACAAGTTAAAGCTAGTTTCATCCTCCTCTCAACTGTTGTAGCTGATACACATGGATCTGTGTGGACCAATGAGAATACAAAGTATCAATGGTCGCAAGTACACTCTTGTTATCGTTGATGACTTCTCTCGGTACACATGGACAAAAAATTTGTGAACAAAGGACGATGCTGCAAATACCATCATAACCTTCATCAAACCATCCTGAACTTTCTACATAAGGGTGTGTGAATAACGAGAACTGATAATGGTACTAAGTTCAAGAATCAACTTCTCACTGATTTCTATGAATCTCAAGGTATCACTCAGCAATTTTCAGCCGCCAAAACTCCTCAACAGAATGGGGTTGTTGAAAGAAGAAACAGGACTCTAGTTGAAGCTGCACCCACCATGCTGATTCAATCTAAACTTTCTCACTTCATGTGGGCAGAAGCTATCAATACTGCGTGCTTCACTCAGAACAGAATGACTATTCAAGAGCGGTTTGACAAGACTCCTTATGAAATATACTGTTCAACATGACCCCCAATATTTCTTTCTTCAAAGTTTTTGGCGGCAAGTGCTTTGTTATGAATGTCAGAAGTGAAAGAAGTAAGCTCGATCCAAAAGCCAAAGAAGATGTGTTTATTGGCTACTCAATGCAATCAAAAGCTTACAGAATCTATTTGAGAGATCGACGAACTATCATAGAGAGTGTGCACGTGGCATTCTATGAAATGGCAAACTTCGCTTCTGAACATTTCGTGACAGAACCCACTCTTCTTGAACAATAACAATCAACTGATGAAGTTGGAGCAAATCTACAAACTACCACTGAACGTGTGATTCTCGACTCCCTCTTTCAACATTTTTATGAGAATCCACAATAAACAACAACAGCACCTGATACTCACTTACCGCTCATGCCTAATCCAATTGACGCTCAATCACCTCCTCAATCTAATCATGAGGATCCTGAAGATCAAGGCATGGAAACAACTCAAACAACAACTCAAACAACTCATGTGCATCACACTCCTAATCAATCTACATACATCTGCTACCTATGTGGACACGAATCATCCCATCATAAATCCAATCCTTCTTACACATGAGCGGAAATGGACGAAAGCACATCCCCCTGAACAAATAATTGGTGATCCAAGTCGTGGGGTATGCACAAGAGCTGCAACAACCAATGAATGCCTCTTCTCTTGCTTTCTGAGTCAATCTGAACCTTCAAAGGTCTCCGAAGCGCTGACTGATCCTGATTGGGTGATTGCAATGCAAGATGAACTCAATCAATTCAACATAATGAATGTGTGGACACTCATGCCTAGACCTCAAAAGAAAACAATCACCGACACGAAGTGGGTGTTAAAAAACAAGCGAGATGAAGAAGGTATAATTGTGAGAAATAAGGCTAGGTTGGTTGCCAAGGGATACAACCAGCAAGAGAGTATAGAGTATGATGAAACATTTGCACATGTAGCTAGAATTGAACCTATACGCCTCTTTCTCGCCTACACGGATCATAAGAATTTCACGGCATATCAGATGGACGTGAAAACAGCTTTCCTGAGTGGAGTTCCACAAGAAGAAGTCTTTGTCTCTCAGCCTGAAGGATTGTAGATCCACGATGCCCAAATCATGTATATAAATTGAA